AGACAGACCAGCAAGTTAAAGGTATATCCCTTATTGCGGAGTTAACTTTAGTGTCAGTGTTGTCCCTGCCTTTCTCACACACGTCTTTACCCACTTATTTCCTGATTCACCATCCAGCAGGATACCCATCCACTTCTACCCCCTCCCTTTACATGTATCTCCCTTTCACCAGCCCTCCATCTAATAACTTATATATGAAGCTTCCATGGCTTCTGTGTTAGGCTCCCTTGTTAGGTTTTTTAAAAAATACATTTACACGTTCCTTTGTGTACTCACAATACCTATTAAGCATTTTTGTGGGGTCGCTGTTCTTCATCCCCAAAATACTCTCCCAGGTTGTGCCTGATCAAGGAACACCAAACTGTTCTTCACAAGATGGATTGTGGTGCTGGGATTGGGCCTGCAAATCTCTAGTTTGTTGAAGACCATGAGCAGGTTCCTTTCCTTCTTTAAGACTTTCTCTCTTTCTTGGACTAAGTAAAGCAATTAGTCCCTACTCTTTCTTTCCCCATCTCCAGACCGTCATGGGTTGAACATCAGAAGGATGGGAGGGGTCTTAGACAAGGACATCCAGAACCCTTCCCCTTGTTCTTCAGGGCCTTTGTGATTTTGTGCACAGACTTTTCTTCCGCCTGTACAAACCACCAGACAAAGGACGCAGAGCGTCCTAGTGGCTTAGTGGCAAGAACTTTGCTGCAGTCTAAAAGGCATAAGTTCAAATCCAATAGCTGCTCTTAGGGAGAAGGATGGGCAATTTCCTTCTGTGCCATTTATTACTCCCTCTGAAAACCTACTGGAGAGTCAGCTATGGGTCGGTTCTGACAGCACACAACAGGACTTTATAAAGCCGACAAAAACTGTGTTCAAAACTAGAAGTTAGAACCTTGACGGGTTATTTGATATTATGGAATTATTGTTAAAATAATTTTAGGAGGGCGCTCTGGTGGCCTAGTGGCAAAAAAGCTGCACTGCAACTCCAGAAGTGCACAGTTCGAATCCACCAGATGCTCTGCTGGAGAAGGAGGGGCAATCTCCTCCTGTACCAGTCAGATCCGATTTGACGGTACACACACAAAATAAAATAAATCTTGAAAAAAAGAAGTTAAAAAATTAAAAAAAAATCCTTTTAGGGCGCTCTGGTGGCCTAAGAAGTTGCAGTGCTAATGCACAGGCAATAATCTCCTCCTGTTTGATTTAAAGCCTCCTGAAAACCCACTGCAGGGTCAGCTGTGAATCAGTTCCGACTGGATAGCAATGAAAGAGTTAATGTATTTAAGTGGCTTTTTTTTTTAAAAGTGGTTATGTTTTAAAGTAACCCTTATCTTTTAGGGATACAGAAAAGAATTATGGATGTCATATGATGCCTGGGCTTTGTTTGAAAATAATGGGGTTGGGAAATGGGCGTGTAGTTAAAACTGTCCATGACTTGACGTCATTGTTAAAGCTGATAGGGGTCATGGGGTTCATACTCAGAGCGTGGCCCAAGAGGCCCTCTGAGCGTGGGAGCTGGTTCAAGGAGCCGACTCACAGCTCCATCCAGGCCTACTGAACCAGAACCTACAGTTGCAAGAAATTCCCAGGGAATTCGTGTGCACATTCACGCGTGGGAAGCACGTCCACTTTTGAATATATTAAAAATTTCCCATCCTATACATATCTTTTGTTAAAACGAAATAATCCCATGCTTATTTCTTAAAAAAAATGTGCATGCTAAAAAGTTTTGTTTTGACTTGTTTTTATATGAAAGAGTGTCTCAGTTCCGTGGAAAGCTCTTTTTGGAGTAGAGTCAGTGCTGTGAGCGAGTTTGGAACCTTCTCCCCACGCAGGAGCCCACGGCCCCGACTTTGGCACTCGGCCTCGGAGCTTCCCGCGTCTGCAGGAGTCTGTTCCAGGCACCTGCCGCCTCGCGCCCCGTCCTCCTCGGCGCCACACGCTCAGCCCTGCACGGGAACGTGGGGCTTCCCGGCGCGCGGCTGTCAGGACAGGCCCGGAGCGGCTGCGCCCCGCGCACCTGGGCGCGCCGGCAGGTGGAGAGCGTCGCGGCCCCGGGTCCCCGCCCCGTGGGGGGCGGAGCGGGAGGCGCGGGGCGGGCTCGGCGGGACCGCGGGCGGGGACCCGGGTCCTGGGATCCCGGCGCGCCGCCACCGCAGCCGCCGCGCTGGATCTTCCGACACTGGGTGCCCGGGATGAGCTTCATCCGGAAAAAGGGCTTCTACAAGCAGGACGTCAACAAGACCGCCTGGGAGCTGCCCAAGACCTACGTGTCCCCCACGCACATAGGCAGCGGGGCCTATGGAGCCGTATGGTGAGACCCCCCCAGGGCCTGCGCGGCCACTGGAGGGACGCGGGGGCGGGGGCGCGAGCCCGTCGGGGGGGGACTGAGGGCGGGAACTCGGGGGACCGGACGAGGCGTGAGCTTCCCCTGAACCCAGACGTGGGCCGCTGCACCCTCAACCCTTTTAGATGGTCCCTCAGTGTCCCCTTCTGCTGGACGCTTGGAGCTGCATGCCCATGACCTTAACCAAGAATCCCCAGGGCACTGTGCCCTGCGGGTTTTGAAGGCCCTCCCAGGAACTTTTCCTGGAGTTGAGAGGAGGAAGGAGGTTGGACATCTGAGTGGAAAAAGAGGTTGAAACCCTGGGCTGTGTGTCAGAGGTGGCCTTTACCACGGCCTTAGCGCCATCTCATTTTCCTCAGTGAGGTCCTGCATGGGTCTGTGTGGGTTAAACAATGAGGCTCAAAGAGAAGGAAGTAACTTGGCTATTTGCATAAAGCGTCTGAGGTGCCTGCCTTGCACCTGACCTGATCCACGTTGACATGTGTCCGACTGGTGTGTGTTCTTCTGTCACGCCTACTTCCCTTTGCATTGTGTTTCCCCCACACTCCATGAGATCAGCTTCATGTCCCTCACCTAGTCCCCAGAGGGGGTGAGGGAGGAGGAGGAGGAGAAGGAGGATCCCCTGGGCTCCCCAGAACCACCCGGGAGGGCCCAGTCAAATCTGGAGTGGGTGCTGCCTACTGACCTGTCTGTGCCCCTACAGCTCTGCCATCGACAAACGGTCAGGGGAGAAGGTAGCCATCAAGAAGCTGAGCCGGCCCTTCCAGTCTGAGATCTTTGCCAAGCGGGCTTATCGGGAGTTGCTGCTGCTGAAACACATGCAGCATGAGAACGTAGGCTGGGCATGGGGTTGCTTTTGGGGAGGCCTTTCTGTGTGTAATGGAAAGGAGACAGGTTGCTTTGGGGAAGGCCCCTTGATGTGTGATGGAAATAGCCAGACGGTGAAGAGAGCTTGGGACCAGGAACCTGGAATCTTTTCCCTGCCCCTCCAACCCTTGCTAGTAACTGACTTAACTCACCTCTTTATGAAAGTGGGATGTCAGGACCTGCCCTACTCACTTCCCCAGAAAGGGTGTGAAAGCCAGGCAGTGGAGCAAAAGGAACTTTGTAAAGTGTAAGCAGAGTGTCTACTGTAATGAGGAACTTTGTGATTTGTTCTGTGGGAAAGAGCTGGCACTAGGCTTCTGAGTATGGTTGTTTCCACATATGAACTAATAATAATAAAAATAATTGTAGGTACCTACTGAGCACATACCATGTGCCAGGTAATGTTCTAAGAAATTCACATAAACTGTCTGATTTACTCCTCACAATGCTACATGAGAGAAGTAATTTTATCCCCATTTTACAGATGGAGAAACTGGAGCACAGAAAGGCTCCTAGGTTATACAGCTAGTTAGTGGATTTGACCAAAGATAACCTGGCTCCAGGCCTGAGAGCATAACCAGTACTCTGTAACATGTGATAAAAATGGCTGGGAAAACAGGTGATGCAGTGCCGAGCCTGGCAACCAACCTTTGCCCCACAACACCTAGAATGGAGGACAAGCAATTAGAATCACGATTTTAAAACATTGTGCATGTTTTAGCCTGCTTCCCCTTTAGAAAACATTTGCCCTTGGGTCTCTAGCCAGGGCTGAGTGTGTTAGTGGTACTAGCCCCGTCCTTTGGTGGGTAGGAGTGGGTGTGGCTGGAGGCCAAGGGTCTGGGACAGAATGTGTTTGGTTAGAAGGCTCCTTGCTCAGCTTTCATTTACATCCTTTGTCACTCATGCAGTCCTGCTTGAGTTGAACCTGGCCCGGTGCTGTTGTAATGTGCCATCGAGTCAGAACCGACTCATAGAGCTGACCCTCCAGCAGGTTTTCAGAGACTGTAAATCACGCAGGAAGAGGTTATCCATCATTCTCCTGGTGGATTTGAACAGCATGCTTTTGAGTTGTCCATTCAGTTCCTTACCACTGGGCCACCAGAGCTCTCTCCAGACATGGGAGCCAGTGTGATTCTTCATCACTATTTATTGCAAATTCCTTCCCAAGAATGCTGGGGGTTTGCCCCCTACTGGACAATGGCGTGTTAGAGAAGGGAGTGTGGTCTTCTGTCCGGATGGGACCTTGGGGAAGGGCTGAGGATAGAGGATTGGTCTGTTTGGTCCTCACTAGTGACCTTTTCCCTAGGTCATTGGGCTCCTTGATGTCTTCACTCCAGCCTCCTCCCTGAGTAACTTCCATGACTTGTGAGTCCACTGCATTGGGTTCTGGGGCGTCTGCAGGTCTCCTTTGCCACTCAGGAGCCAGTTAAGAGAAGGTTCAGATTTTCTCTTGATGGGAGGGTTTCTTGCCATGTGTCTCTGGTCTATAAAGGTGTGGTTTTCTCTAGAGAACTTCTTTCTGTCTTGGGAGAAGGTATACGGGAAGAAGTTGGAGGGTCTTCTTTTTGGGGTCCTTACTTGACCTGGGGCTGTCTGCACTTCTGCTTTGCCAGTTGCTGACATATGGGTCTGGACATTGGAGCTTCCAGCATAAAGACTCTGGCTGAGGGGTACCCAGAACCAAAAAATTTAGTTGCTAAACTCATCAGTTCAGTAAGTGCAGTGCCTGGTCTAAAATTTGGAATATTTTGAAGTGGGTTTTTTCCCCCATTTTTGTTATTTTTTAAAAAATTGTTTTAGTGCAGCTGAAAGCCCCTTTGCTAGCATGCCTTTCTCGAAACCTGAATGCAATACTTGTTTTTTCTTATTTATTTATACTGGTTTGCTTACCAAGTTCATATACATTGTGTTTCACACTATACTTCATTCACATTGTGTTTCATAAAATCATTCCCGCTCATTTATATTTTTTAAAATTAATCACCATTGAACTATGCCCACCATTACTCTATCTAGATCCTCTCTGGATCTTTCTCATATCCTTTACCCACCTCCCCCTCCACCCACCAAACTGTGTGACCCTATGATTTCCACCCTGCCAATTCTCAGCCTTCTGCTCCCATGCAATACTTTTGCATTGCATTCTTCCTTATGGTGCCAGTTGTTGGGCTTACCATTGGGATTTCAGAGTGACCAGGACCAAGCCCCAGCCCCTATGCAAAGAGGGTGCAGTGAACAGGTTCTAAATGGATAATGACAGTGTGTGGTCAGTGCTGCAGATATGAGCAGCTTTCTGGGGACAGAGGAAGTGATGTTTGAGCATAGTCCAGAAGGCAGAGTTGAAGTTTAGGCTGAAGGACGGTCTGAGAAATACTGAAAAATACACTGGATACCTGGAGACCCAGTGACTTATTTGATCAAATCAAGAGTCCAAAAACTTGATTCTGCAGTCAGCTTTAAGTCCGTGTAGGATTTGAGCAAGGAGGTGATGTGGTCCTTTCCAGCTCTCCAGCAGCAGAATTCTCACCTTCCATGCAGAATTGAACCCAAGTTCAATTCCCAGCCAGTGTATTTCATGCACAGCGACCAACTGTCCCTCAGTGGAGGTTTATGTGTTTCAGTGACTCACAGCATGTGTCTGCAGAGCTTCCAGAAAAATGGACAGGAAGAAAAGACTCCCTTCTTACTTCTGAAAACCAGCCAGTGAACACACTGTGTTCTGCTCAGCAGTTGATCATGGGGATGGCACAGAACAGGGTAGGATTCATAGTGCATGGTCTCACCATGAGGCAGCCACAGCCAACAACTCCATTGTGGAGAAGGAGGTTGGAGCAAGGAGCTGCTCTGAGGAGGAGGGAGGGTCTGAAGGCCGGTGTTAGTGGTCTAGACCTTGATCTAAAATAGAGCTGAGGGACCACAAGAGCCAACGTGAGACCCACTTGGGACAGAACACTGTGCCCACTGGGATGCAGTAGCTAGATGATGTGACGTAGGGGTAAGGCTGCTCAGGCTCCTGCTGAGACCACAAGGGGGAGGGGAAAAAAGGTCTTGGGGAAATATACAAACTCTTTTGGTTACCTCTCTTTTGAAGAGCCTGTGAAGATCCAAGCATTTAACCAGCCGCTGCAAATGAATCTGGAACTTAGGAAAGTTTGAACTGGGCACAGGAAGTAGTATAGAGCATGGTAAGAGAAAAGGAGAATTGGTAGAGAACTTTGGGAAAGGTCCAGTAGGAAGAATGGTGTGTGTGTGTGTGACTTTGATTCTACCTTTTAGTGACATAGATCTGAGCAGTTGCGGGGGGAGGGGGGACAGGAAAGGCCTTGAATGACACAAATTATTTGCTCTTGACTATGACCTTGAGTTGCTTCTATCTCAACATCAATGAGTGAGTGGCGTTCACTACCTGAAAGGTGGGCACTTAAACACTACTGAGTAGTAGCCCCATAGAAAGGCCAGGTGATCTAGTTACATAGGATTTAGTCCTGAAAACCCCATGAAAGTTCTGTGCTAATGCACAGGGGGTCATCTTGAGTCAGAATGGACTCAATGGCAACAGGTCTCAGGTTTGCAAGTTAAGAAAGTAGAGCCGAGACATGCAGACTGCTCTTTGTAGAAGTTAAGTGGTAAGGGAAAGACTTTTTGGAAAAGGGGTGGTTGCTTAAAGAAGCAAGGTCAAGAAGAGGCAATTCAGACTGTAGCAAGTTATATGTTGAGAAGAGAGAGCCAGGGCAGTGGACGGGGCAGGGTCCTAGCAGGAAAAGCCTTCAAAAAGTCATAGGTTCGTGGAGATAGCCCCAAATACTTTTTTTTTTAAAGGAAAAATAAAATAATTTCAGAACCTTTATTACTTTTGCTCTGGACTTTGCTGTTTCTACCTTGAGTAACAGTTATGTTTTGCTGATTTCTCTGTTTTGCAAGAGGGCACAATGGCCCAGCCCTCCTCCTTCCTCTGCCTTTTCTGGAAGTGGTGTAATTGTTTCCTTCTAGGAAGGACAGACATCTTGTTTGCTTATGGAGCCATGTCCGCTGGGCTTGACTCACGGGCAGAGAAAACATTTGGATAGGAACAGAAGGAAGTATCACAGATGTTTCCAACTCACAGCTGTTGGCTTTCTGTGGGGCGTGGAGAAGGGCCAGGAGAGGGCACCTTTGAAGAGAGGGAACATAACTTCATTTTGTTTTCCTGAGAGTGCTCCAGTTCACTCTGAGGGCTGCCAACTGCGATGGGGGTGCCCACCACGCAGAGGCGGAGAGCTAAGGGTCAGGAGGCCAGGCTAGAGTGCTGGCTAGCTGTGGTGGGGCTCCTGTGGCTTGCATGCCAGAGGTCATGTCTAAGGCCTTTGTTCTATTCCGCCCAGTACCTCCTCTCTAAGCTCTGACCTGGGGTTGGGTGGGGCTGGGGACTGCTCCAAAAACCCCTTGTGCCTTCCAGCTACCTGGTGATGCCCTTCATGCAGACAGATCTACAGAAGATCATGGGCATGGAGTTCAGTGAGGAGAAGGTTCAGTACCTGGTATATCAGATGCTCAAGGGTCTGAAGGTGAGTGGAGGAGGCTCTGGGTGGATCTGGGGGGAATCCTGGGAGTTCAGGAAGGCCAACCAAAATGCTCCTTAGAAGTGCACATGGTGAGACTTGAGCTCACTCACTGTGGACACAGAATCAAAAGGGCCGATTGCTACAAAAAGACTTTATAAAAAAAGATATACTGCTTTATCACACAGTTGTTGTCCTGTTAAGTGCCATTGAGTCAACTACGAATCATAACAGCCCTGTGAACAGCACATCCAAACGCTGTCCTGTCCTGAGCCATCCTCAGTGTCTCTGACGTGCCCTTGTTCCAGTCACTGTGTCAGTCCATCTTGGGAGGGTCATTGAAAAGTAGGGAAACTGTCAGCCCATGAGGCGCCATAATGGACTCATATATATGTATCAGAGATGTAGAAATGGCGCGGGAGCTTCCTGGGTTTTAGTCTGTTATACAAAAGGTGGCTGCGAGCCAGAACAGACTGGAGAGGAAACCAAGAACAACAGACCCTGAAGGGCAAAGCAGGCTTCTGAGCCAACCTAAAGGGCGTGGTGCAGAAGCAGGGCAGAGGATTCACACCTCTCTTTCTCTCTCTCACGCCCTTTCTCTCCACGCAGTACATCCACTCAGCTGGTGTCGTCCACAGGGTAAGTGCTGCCACCGTTGCTGTCCCCTGGAACCCCTGTCCCATTCCAATAGGGGTTCTCCAGCAGTTAGGACATGGTTAAAGTTGGACGAAGGGATGATCCTCATGGAATATGGGGTTTTCCAACCCAGCCTTAGCTTGTTGTTGTTGTTGTTTAATGCCGTCGAGTCGTAGACGACTCATAGCGACCCTATGAATGAACAGCCTGAGCACTGTTTGTACATAGAGATTCTGGAGGCAAGCCATTTTGGAAGTGGATGCCGCTCCTGCTTCCAGGCTTGATTTAGTCGGGAAGCTCCAGCCAACACTGTCCACCAGGGTACCCGTTACCACGATTGGCACATCACTGTCACAGGCTTCAGCATCACAGCAACCACGAGTTACCTCTGTACAGCAATGCACAGACCAGTGCTGTACCACCTAGAAGAATGTTTGACAGGAAGACAATTTGAACCTGGCCGGAGGGCCACAGGCCCTCGGGCATTTTGGACTTAAGGCCGCCTCCTGGTTCAAACCCTAGGCCCAGGATGGCTAGCCTCACTCCAGGGACAGAGTAAACCTGCATGTCAAACACATTCCCGGAAAAGCAGTCGACTCCAAAAGCTTGCCACGATTCCTGCACTCCCACCGAACACTCCTGCCTTAGCTTGTTGCTGTTGTTGTTATGTGCCGTCGGGTCGTTTGCGACTCCCTTAGCTTAGGGGACCTTAATTAGGAAATCTCACAAAGGAAGCAAGCCTTGGGTTGTGTATCTCAAGCTCTGGGAATCAAGAGCATCTTGGAATCGGATGGGCTCCCAGAGGACACCTAGGCCCACCCTTGTTCGGCAGATGAGGAGCCTAAAGTCTGGAGAGGGGAGGAGACCCGGCTGAAGTCACCCAGCTGGGCAGTGGCACAGCCAGGACGAGCACCCTGGCTCTGCCTGTCAGCCCTGAGCTCACTCTCTCACCTCTTGTCCCAGGACCTGAAGCCAGGCAACCTAGCTGTGAATGAAGACTGTGAACTAAAGGTGAGTAGCCGTAGGCAAGGTCTTATCAGTTTTAGGGTGGGCATCTCTCCAAAGGGAGCCTTATGCAGGTTCTTGGGAGCCCCTCCCCTCAGTCAGTTCCTTCCTCTGTGTCCCCTGAGCCATAGATCCTGGATTTTGGCCTGGCAAGGCCTGCAGACGCCGAGATGACTGGCTACGTGGTAACCCGCTGGTACCGGGCCCCTGAGGTGATCCTCAGCTGGATGCACTACAACCAAACTGGTCAGTGGTCATCTGTCAGGGGTTGGGGCTGGGGCAACCTCCCTGCAGCCATCGTGGTTACTGTGTGCTGGCTGGTCCCCTGGTTCTGATCAGACACTGAGATGACCCTCCCTCTGCAGTGGACATCTGGTCTGTTGGCTGTATCATGGCAGAGATGCTGACCGGGAAGACTCTATTCAAGGGAAAAGACTGTATCCTTTGGTGGAAAGGCCAGTCTTTATTCAGGGATTCACACATGCAACAGACACTTCATTTAAATGTTTTCTTTAAAAAAAAAAACACCCATAAAAGACAATGTTCTCTGTAGAATAATTTTTAAATAAAGATCTGCAAAAATGAAGAAACCTAAAGGAGGTCAGTGGTAGCATTCTCACCTTTCCTCCAGGAACCTGAGGTTGGATTCCCAGCCAGTGCACCTCTTACACGGCTACACCAGCCTATCTGCGGAGGCTTGCATAATGCTGAGATGCTGAATAGAATAAGAGAGACCAGGAAGAAAGGCCTGGTGAAAACCTTGTGGATTACGATGGTTTGATCCACAGCTGAGCATGGGCATGGTGCCGGGCTGTGGCCGTTTCCACAGCAGGTAACAACAAGAAGTTACCTGTAGTTCCACCTGCTATAGGAGGTCTGCCGTGTTCAGACCTCCCACGCTCACTAACTGACCACCTTTTGCGCTGGCTTGTGTGGCACTAGATAAAAAGGTGCAGGGTCTGCCCCATGGAGCTCACTGTGAGGGGTCAGGAAGGAGACAGATGGTGATAACCAGGTGGGATAATGGATGGAAGGGTGGCATGTTAGGACCAGGAGTAGGTGTCAGGAAGACCCTTACCTGGTGGGCTGGAAAGGCTTCCAGACACTGTGTTGAAGGACAAACTTTTTCTCCTGATAGAATGGGGGTGTTTAGGTGAGGGGTATGGAACCTAGACTGTCCCCACAGCAAGATTCCTGGGGGCTATAGAAAGGGCAAGCCCAGATCCATCTGTAGAGAGCCAGGGTCACCTTAACCCACTGACTGACCAGACCTGGACCAGCTGACCCAGATCCTGAAAGTGACCGGCGTGCCAGGGGCAGAGTTTGTGCAGAAGCTGAAGGACAAAGCGGTGAGGGGCAAAAGAGGGGATGGCAGGGTGGGTCTGAACAGGAGGGGTCACCTGTGCCTTCCCCCCCAGTGACCCTTGGTCCTGGCAGGTGCTCTCACCTTCATCCCACCTCTGATTCTGACCTGAGCTTTCCACCCAGTTTTTCTGAAACCTCAGCTCTGCTCTCAAGGTTGACATTCAGGTGATTATAAGATGCTTTCTGTCTTCCAGGCCAAATCCTACATACAGTCCCTACCACAGAGTCCCAAGAAGGATTTTTCTCAGCTCTTCCCACGTGCCAGCCCGCAGGGTGAGCTGGGGGACTGTTCTCTCAGGTCATCGGACACCTCGAGGGCAGGCTGTCCTGGGGTGCTCAGGTTTACGAGAGGGGATGTCGTTGTTCTGTCCCTGCAGCCACAGACCTGCTGGAGAAGATGCTGGAGCTGGACGTAGACAAGCGCCTGACAGCCTCGCAGGCCCTTGCCCACCCCTTCTTTGAACCCTTCCGGGACCCTGAGGAGGAAACAGAGGCCCAACAGCCATTTGATGACTCCTTAGAGCACGAGAAACTCACAGTGGACGAATGGAAGCGTAAGGGCTGGGGCCGTGGCCCACTGCTTGCCCCTGTCTCAGGCTTGCTGTCCTTTGCCTTGTCTATTTTCATCGCTGATCTCAGCACACTCCACTGACTTCCTGGAGATACCTGTACACTTCTCTCTCTCTGAGAAGATACTGTCTCCTGCTCATCCTTTTTTTCCTAAACTATCTGCTCCACGATGTGTCTAAGAAGCTCTCTTGCCCTCAGGAAGGTGGGACAGGGTGGCTCAAGGCCCCTTACCCACCTTCACCCACCCTGCCTTCCTCAGAGCACATCTACAGGGAGATTGTGAACTTCAGCCCCATTGCCCGCAAGGACTCCCGGCGGCGGAGCGGCTTGAAGCTGCAGTGACTCCATGCGCCCAGGGACCTGCCACTGCTGCCTCTAGGACCAGTATTTATTGTTACTCCTGAAGCTGACCTTTCCTGAAATGAGTTTGTCCAAGAAAAAGGTCCTAACGAAGGAGCCAGGCTGCTGGACACAGAATGCGAAGATGTTGGTTGGGAGAACAGCTCTGACCATTAAACATCCCCTTGGGAGACTCTCACGCGTGGGTCCTTGGCTTCAGCGCTGTCGTGGCGCTGAGAGGGGGAGTGAGCTGAGTCCCAGCAGGGGTCTGTGACAATGATGGTATATTGGTTTCTAAAGACTGCCATGCAAATGAACATAAACTAGGTGGCTTACAACAACAGAAATGTGTTATCAATTCTGAAAGCTAGAAGTTCAAAGTCAAGGTATCAAACAGGGCTGTGCTGCTTCTGAAAGCTCTAGGGGAATCCTCTTAGTTTCTGCTCGTTCCTATCAGTCCTTTGCACCCCTTGGCTTGTAGCTGTATCACTCTAATCTGTGTGTGTGTTCACATGCCACCTTCCCTGTGTCCTCCTCTCTTATTGGGACTCCAGTCACTGGGTTTAGGAGTTGCCTTATTCCATCCAATATGATCTTATAAAAAGAGTGCTGCTGGCATGGGGGTGGCAGCGTTTGAGTTCTGCTAACCCCATACTGGGAGATGGTCCTCATCAACAATATTCACAAACACTGACTCCTAAAAAGAGTGCAGAGTTCACCTAGGGAGCTCTGGTGGCTTTCTACTAAGAAGCTGCCTGCAGTCAATCCCAAAGGCACGCAGTTTGAAACCACCAACTGCTCTGTGGCAGAAGGATGAGCAGTCTCCTCCTGAGTGATAACGGCCTCTGAAAACCCACTGGAGAGTCAGCTGTGGGTCGGTTCTAACTCGATGGTATATAGCAAGAGTTCAGATATGCTTCCATAATCCCAAACCTTTTAAAATAGATTCTAACTTCAACTGTCCCTCCCATGGTTCTCTCTGCTCTGTCACTGAATCTGCTAATCTGTTGCAATGGCAACTCAGAACTCAAAGGCAATACAGGTACGGAGGGGGTTTAGGGAATAGCAGGTAACAATTCAAATAGGGTGCAGTCAGGACACAATTCTTCAGTCAGAATAGCTTCTTTGGCGTGCTCACAGGTTTTCAGACCTTCAGTCTCGAAGCTCAGGGTCAATGTTATAAAGCACTTTAAGTCCTGCCGATTATGGCAGATCCTAGTCTTCCAGCAAGCTCGGGCAAAGACCCTCAGCACTGGCTTACTGGGACAGCAGTTCCAGTTCAGCTCTGTCTCATGTCAGTCTCTGGTTTGCCATCACCTTTGTTATTTGGGCTTTTTAATCCCCATCTGTCTTGAGCAGGAATCTCTGACCCAAACACGCACTTCCCTTTCTATTTCTTCTTTGTTACTGGTAGTAAGATGCCTGCTTTCTGCTGCTGAACTTGCTCCATTTTAGCCTGGCAGGATGGCAAAACGGACCAGTCCACTTGTTAGTCTGATGGCCTAGTGGTAAGGAGTTGTGCTGCCATACCAAGGGCACTCGGTTTGAATCTACCAGCTGCTCCATGGGAAAAAGATGGGCAAACTCTCCTCCTGTGTGATTAAAAGCTGTGCCTCTGAAAGCTCATCAGAGGGTCAGCTATGGGTCATTTCTGACCTGTCGGTACACAAAAACAACTCGATACAGTTGACTAGGAGGGAAGCCCTTTCTGCGTCCTGTGGTCAGGTGGAGTCACTGGAGTTGCTGTCACGTTACGGTTGGCCGGTTGGCTGCTAGCTGCAGGAAGTTGCAGAGAAAGCTGCAGCTGATGGGACGACACATTCATTCAGGTTATTTTGGGCGAGTGATGGGCAATCAAGACAGAGAACAACAGCAGGCTTGCTGACTGGCAGCTGCAAAGGGTAGAAAATAGGCTTTTCCTGGCTTTGAGACAGGATTCTGCCACCTCTCCTTTTTGGAGATGGGCCATTTCTCCACAGCTTTAACTTGCCAATAGCTGAGATCCTATTTAAATTATGAAGAGCTTTGGTAGCATAAATCCCCATTTGCATAAGCAGCTGGGCAGCATGATCACTAGTTCCTTTCCTGGGTACATGGATCCTGAACATCCACGGGTTCCAGAGAGTTTGTTAAACTGACCTCCAGGTATTTTTAGTCAGCAGGTCTGAGGTTATGACTGAGTATAGGGGCCTGCGCAAAGCTGATTAAATATATCCCAAATGTCCAGCATTTTCAAACTGCTGCACCTCTCCCTCTCTAACACCAACTACTCTCTCCCCTCAGCACCTTTCCTCTCATTTTTGGGTTTGGGAATTCCCTGCAATGTTTCACAAAAATTACTGAACATTATTTACACTAATTTATCGTTTATTAAGGGAGCTCTGTGGGAGAAAGATGAACAAACTCCTCCTGTGTGATTTACTAACTCTGAAAAACTACTTAAATGTCAGCTATAGGTTGGTTCTGACTTGATGGTACATAACAACAAGGGTGCTCTGGCAGCCTAGTGGTAAGAAGCTGTGCTGAAATACCAAAGGCACGTGGTTCAAATCCACCAGTTGCTCCACAGGAGAAAGACAGGCAGTCTTTTCCCCCATATGATTTATAGCCTCTGAAAACCTGCTGGAGCATCAGCTGTGTATCAGTTCTGATTCGATGGCACACAACAACAACAATATAGTCTGGTGGCCTAGTGGCAAGAAGCCACGGTTCGAGGCCACCAGTTGCTCCATGGGAGAAGAATGGGCAATCTCCTCCCATGCAATTAACTGCCTCTGAAAACCCACTGGAAGGTGAGCTTGATGGTACACAGCAACAACTAATCGCCACAGAGTCACAACTGACTCTTATAGCTGACTCTCCATTGGGTTTCCGAGGCCAGTATATAATCACACAGCAGGTGTGCCCATCTGCTACATAGGTGCGGCCTCCAAGTTAGTAGGGCCAGTCCCTTCAGACCCACCAGAACTCCTTCATAAGGAAGTTAACAGGCTAAAATTCAGGATCAGGAATGACTCGGGGTGAAGTTCTCTGGTCAGGAAGCCTTTTATCAGCTGTGCCCACAGACAGGCCTCTGTTTGGTCTGCAGCATTCCACAAGGGGCCTGTTGGGTCAATAAGTGTTACAGAGCTCTTTTGTTGTTGTTATGTGCCGTCGTGTCGCCTGCGACTCATAGCGATCCTATGCACAACAGGTCTGAATCCTATTCTATCTTGAGCCAACTTTATCATCTCAGACACACCTACCCCTGTTATCCCAGACACTGAATCAACCCATTTCATTGAGGGTCTTTCTCTCCTGCACTGGCCTTCCACCCTCCCAAGCATGACTTCCTTCTCCAAGGACTGGGCCCTCCTTGCAACATGTCCAAAGTATGTCAGATGAAGCTTCAGAAACCTTGCCTCCAAGGAGCAGCCTGGTTTCACCCTCTCTTGGATGAACCTGTTTATTCTCTTAGCAGTCCATGGTATAGTAAATTCTTTTCTCCGGCACCACAGCTCAAAGACATGCTCGTTTAGCTCTGCTAATAAGTGTCTGAAGGCATCTCACTCTGTCAATAAGCCTCAGGTGAAGGCACTCAGTTCTAGCTCCAAGGGTCACCAAGCCTAGGAATCCCACTCCACCAAGAAGCCCGAGACCACACCACCTCCTGCTGCTCTGCTGGTTCTCTGCCTCTATTTCTCTGCTGTTGCTTCTCATGATCTTTGCAGTGCTAATGCTCTCTCTCTGGCTTCTGGATCCAGGACTCTTCTAACACAGGGATCCTGAGTCCAAAACACACACGGCACTCTCAGCTCTTCTTTATTTTCCTAGTTTTTATTTTTTGATGGTTTTGGGTCCTTCTCTTGGGGAATTGGCTTTCTTTTAATCACAGTGAGATGGTAAAACTGATCAATCATTTTAGGGTCCCATTTACCTTATTTACATAGGCTGGTGGGTCAAGAGTTGTGCTGCCAACCCAAATGCAGGCAGTTCGAATCTACCAGCTGCTTCTCTGGAGAAAGATGGGCACTCTCCTCTCATGCAATTTACAGCCTCTGGAAACTTGCTGGAGGGTCAACTATGAAATGGTTCTTAGTTCCAACTCCATGGCACATAACAATAACCCCCACAAAGAAGCCCTTGTTTATATTAAAAATAAGCTATCCAATCCTCTTGATGTACCTCATTTGCATGCCCTACCCAGTCATTTATTGGGCATTACAAAGACTCTGACTACAAAGTCCATATTAGCAATTTACTACACCACCATTTAAAACTCTAGAATGTGTATTTGAATAAGGATAGCCTCATCCCTTACCAGGCCAAATGATTCCTATAAATTTTAAACCATATGCAGAGAAATATTTCTCTGGTTTCAGCATCACTTGATTTGTTGGAAAACTTAATTTAGAAACTCACTGTGTAAAGTTAAGGGTATTTAGTTAAGTCTCATATTTGTCAGTTGTTAAAATCACTCCCTTAAAAAACAACAACCAAAAACAAACTAAAAAACCCCGGAGACCCAGAGATATTACAGAAAACATCCACAGCTAGGAGCTAGTGGAGCCAGGATTTGAACTCCCTAAGCAGCCTTGACTATTGTGTCTAAAATTGTTAACTTACACTTGGGCTCGAGGGGTTCCCAGCTTTCCTTCTCTCCTCGCCTGTATCTGTGAGCTCCTTCCCTGCTGCTGACTGCCCCTGTGGACTCTTGTTTCCTCATCCTCAGAGCTAGCCTGCTTTCAAGGAGGTAAGAGTGAATGGCAGAAGGAGATTCCACATTTTGCTGTAACGAAATATAGACCTTGCTAGCTGGTTATTAACTGCCCCAGATTCCATCTTCCAAGACTCTTCAGTGTTGTTATTATGTGCCATCGAGTCAGAACCGACTCAGAGGCTGGTGGATTTGAACCCTGAGCTTTTGGGTTAGCAGTACAACTCCCTACCCACTAGGCCACTAGAGCTTCCCAGATTCTTCACTTGCCCTTTTGAAAATGAACTTTCTTCACCTGTCATTTAAAGCTCCTTACTTTCTCACTCAACTTCAACTCCTACTACCTCTCTTATTCTTCCTGCCAAGCTGG